TCGCAATCATAAATTACTATTTCTAATGTGAGGTGAGACACTCTTTTTAAATAAAAGATTTGTTTTTGCCAACTCGAATAAAAAGATGTTAATTTCTCTTAGAATTTTGTTAAAATTTTTATGGCAAATTTGTATTTAAAAAAACTTCTAAATGCCTAACCCTTCTAAATAAAAATTTTCAAAGGAAATTTGTATCTTAAGCTTTTTTAATTCATTTAATTTGTTTATATTTTAAGAGAGGATCCAAAGAGTTTTATCACAGGCTCACCTGCTTCTCTGAATTTTTGGCGGCAACTAAAATTGTGCCTTAAGAATATTTATGCTTTATACTTCCTCAGTACTATTTGTTTATTAGTTTATTTATTTTTTACAATAATTAGTTTATTTTTTTATAGATTACAGATTACAAATAATCTCACCAGTAAATGCTAAGGTGATTATTAAAACGCTCGTGTTTATACTATTTGGAATGGAAAGTCAAAGAATTCCATCAACTATGTTAACTCCCAACAAAAAAAAAAATTAAAATACGTCTAGTACCCTGAAGTATTTTTTCAAGTACACCCACTATCGTAAAGTTATTTATGGTGCAATTTTAGTCTTAAAGTGTTTAAAATGGTACACTCATATCCAACTACTCCTCTGGTCCTTATTATAAGACCCAATTTGACTTTTTATTTGGTCCTAATTATAAGACCCAATCCATTTTGTCTCTTATATTTATGCATTTTTTTCCAAGATAATCCTTCTAATAATGATAGTTTTAGCCAATATACTTAATTAGTAAGGATATTTTAGGAATGACAACACTTATTTATTATAAATAACCAACTTAACTTACTTCCTTAATCTTCTCAAATAAGTCAATTGGGTTTTATAATTAGGACCGGAGGAGTATAACAGAACTGTTTGTTTGACTGTTAATATGATGACTAGCTCCATTTTGACCAGTACAATCCCAAGTGGCAGAGCACATGAGCGATGACTTGTCAAATTATTTTGCTGAGTCAACTGGAGTCTGAATAGCTTTTATGATAAAATCACACCCAGGAGAGAAAGGGACTTGGGGCTCATTCGTTTCTCCATGATCTTACGCTTTGCAAAAATTAGTCTGTCGATCAAGCCTATTGGTCAGCAGGAAAAGAGAATGCTTCATCCCTCGGCTGACCCCATTAAAGTTTAAGCATATGACTTGAGCATATGCTGTCAAAAAGATTAGGAATGTTGCTGAATCAAATTGTATATGATTTAAGCATGTATTTCCGCAAGCTTTCTCATTTCACAAGTTTCTTCCTTGGCTTTGATTATAATATAAATATGCATCAATACCGAGGCTTCAGGTCTGATTTTTACATGAATCATTGAAACTGGTCATAAAAAAGGGGGAAAATGAATCAGATTTGTGATGGCTATTTCATTTTTATATTGAACTCTTCGGTGTCTCATTTCATTCTACTACGTCCGGTCTTTAATATAAGATCTTGTTTAACTTTTATTTTGATTCTAAATATAAGATCCCAATCCACTTTATCTCTCATATTTATACATTTTTTTTCCTAAGTAACCCTTCTAACAATGATAGTTCTAGTTAATACACTTGATTAGTAAGGATATTTTAGAAAAGATAACACCTATTTAGGATAAATAACTAACTCAACTTACTTCCTTAATCTCTTCAAATTAATCAACTGACTCTTATAATTAGGACCGAAGGTAGTATATTGAACAGAAATCTTTAACCCAATATAGAATTTGTCATGATACGGTTAACATTACAACCCAACGGGTCTGAGCAATACAAAATTCCAAACAAAGCAGAGAGCCACGGGAAGTTCCATCACCACCAAAGCCACTTAGATTTCAATCCAGCCACAGCTGAGGAAGAAAAATGAATATAATGACACATACCTGAGTCGAAATTTCGCCAACAACAAAAGGATGTGATCGGCTGAAGAAGAAAATGAAAATATGAACCCTAACTATCGCTAGCCATTTTGATATTCAGAGAAACTGTTAATAAAACAAAAGAAATTTCTGATAATAGAAAGACACGTCATCACTTATGTGCTTTGCCACTTAGGATTGTTTTGGTCAAAATGAAGTTGAGTCAGCATGTTAACAGTCAAACAAACAGTTTTATTATAATTGAATATGGGTGTACCATTTTAAATAGGGAGAATTACATTCAAATCCCACATAAGAGAAATAATCACTATAAAGTCCCAAATAACAACCCGAGCAGTCTGAAATAACAAGTCCTACAGTGAGAATAACAACCTCTGGGACTTGTTTTTTAATTACTTGGGACCTCACTGTAATTCTCCCTTTTAAACATTTCAGGGACAAAATTGCATCATAAATAACTTTAGGATAATAAGTGCACCTAAGAAAATATTTCAGAGTGCTGAGCGCATCTTAATCCAAAAAAAACTATGTTCTGTCAACTAGCAGTGTAACAAAACAACTTAGCAAGCATTCATCATTCAAATGAAAAAATTGTATGGGGAATTTATTTTGCAATTACACTTTTTTTAATTTTTAATTTAATACCTATACTGCATTTCTTTAATTAAATCTTTGACCACCGTTACCTCCTACATATGAAAAAATATAAGTATTTGTAAAATATTCTTCCTAAAATTAAATTAAAAACTAAATCTGACATGATTAGCACCCAGTATTTCATTGACTTTTTTTATATTGTACTTTTCCTTGTCTTTTCTTGCACGCAGCACCGCTGTTAGCATGCTGACTTGTTTTCTTAAACAACAATACTATCTCGTATGCTAATTATATAAACTACTTGACTAATTTAAAAAGATTAAAAAAATAAATTAAGTTAGTATTTGTAATAAATAAGTGTTGTCTTTTCTAAAATATCCTTACTAATCAAATGTATTGGCTAGAACTACTATTGTTAGATGGACTACCTTAAAAAAAATACATAAATATGAGAGCCAAAGTGGATTGGAGTCATACATTTAGAACCAAAACAAAAGTGAAACAGGGTCTTATATTAAAGATTAGAGGTAGTTATAATTTGGTTCATAATTACATTGTTGGATTACCATAATAAATCTAGCCATTTTAGAATGAATTTATTTATTCATAAAATCTTAAAATATATAGCTTTTTAAATATCTAGTCATCTTTTAATTCACAAATAACGTGATTTAATGTAAATGAAATATATCAGTACAATAACATCATATATTAAATTTCCTAAGATAATTACTGATTTGTTCTTTTTTGGTGCCAAATAATTACTATTGATTTACACCACAGAAAACAATAATGTTCATAAAATTGGTATAATCAATATGCAAATGTACATTAAATCTATATTTGTAAGGAATCATATTATTTAGAGGTCATAATATGACAGCTTATTCTTTAAACTTTATTAAAATTTTTGTGGTGTGCAAGGGTCAATGATTGGGACATGTTATATTAAATTTTTTTTTGGTAAAAAATTAAATTTCTTAAACCAACTAATCATCCAACAAGATTTAAATCTGAATTCTTAAACATGGATCTATCATCCATGTCCTGAACCATTAAGTAAGTTTAATCTATTAAACCATGTACGGCAAAGAACATGACTTGGTTGACTTACTAAAATTATTATCTTTAATACTAGTATAAAATACGGCTAAGTACATCTTGTTTTCAATATAAGAGTTAGTTTGACATTCAATTTCATTTTAACTTTAGTTTCACATTCAATTTCATTTTAAATATAAAACCTCAATTTATTTTGTCTATGATATTTATCTATTCTTTTAAAGTATTACTTATAGTAATTGTATATGTTAAAAGTTCTATCAAATAATAATTCTAACTAATATACTACCTCCGATCTTTAATATAAGAGCTAATTGACTTATTTGAATAAATTAAGAAAATTAGTTGTTAGTTATTTGTAATAAATACCCGTTATTTTTTTAAAAAATATTTTTACTAACCAAGTGTATTATAAGTTAGAACTATCATTATTACAAGAACTATTTTAAAAAAATAGATAAATATAAGAGATAAAATAGATTAAAATATTATATTTAGGATTAAAATAAAAATCAAATAAGTTTTTATATTAAGAACCGGACATAATACATTATTAGCAAGTTATTTTTTAAAAAAAAAGCTTTGCCTAGTGGCTAGGGCTGTTCACGGGACGGATCGGAACCGGGACAGGCTCGTCCCGGTTCCGTCCCGATGAACAGTAATGGGACAGAAAATCTGTCCCGTGTCCCGACCCGTCCCGAGGTTGTCCTGGTCCCGGTCCCGGTCAGGACGGGACGGATCCGAGACAGGACTGGGACGTCTCGAAGTATTTTTTTTAATTTTTTAAAAAATCTGATCTTTTTAATTATATTTTTTTGGACTTAAACCTTATAAAAACATCTTTTTATTTTCTTTTTTATTTTTCTGGGCACTCTTAAACAAAAGCTCAAAATATTACATATAACAGTCATTAAAAACTCTAAACAAAAGCTTTTGACACAAAAAAAACTTGCTAAAAATTCTAATCATCAATAATCTCAAATCATTAACAAATATAAAAATTCTAAATAAATATATCCATAGTTCCATACAATAGTCTCAAATCTTAAAAAAAAATAAAAAAATGATATTATATAAATAGGATAAAAAATTAAAAAAATTTTTAAAAAAGGAACCGGGACGGGACTGGGACGGGACGACCCCGTCCCGTGTCCCGTCCCATCCCGATTCTTTTTTTGTCCCGTTCCAAAAATTTCGAGACGGATCCGTCCCATCCCAATAAGACCGGAACCGGAATGGACTGACTGGGACGAACCGGCTTTGAACACCTCTGCTGGTGGCGGGCATTGATTTTAATAATAATCTTCACGTTGGGATGCATCTAATGACATAGGATCCCAAATGCGAAACTTCGAGGAAGATGCGTACTCTGTTGTCTCAATCAAAATGATTGTTAAACGTTTGCAAAAAGAATTAAAATGATTATTGAAAAAAAAGGTTCCCCACCTATTTTTTTCGATACGATCATTTTATTCATCTCCCGTCACTCCTGTTGTTTTACAGCGCAATAGCTGGTCACGGAGCAATCTTCTTCAATTCATGTTTATCATCTTTGGCCACCAGAAATTAAGGGATGACTACTCTTCAACAAGAGGCAGTGATCATGGAGAATGGCAACATCAAGGGTTTGAGCAGGGAGCTGAGGCATGGCAGGACTGCTCATAACATGTCCTCTTCTTCCTTGCGCAAGAAATCCGACTTAACCCTTGTTTCCAAAGTTCAGTGGTGTTTACTCAGGAATTTGCTCGTCAATTTCCAGGAGGTCATTCTCGGCACCAAGTTATCGATTCTCTTTCTTGCGATTCCCTTTGCCATCGTCGCTGAAGTCTACAGGTTCGGTCGAGTAAGTGATGTGGAATGCTTGTTTTGTTGTTTGGAAGACTAGAAGAATGATATAAGAAAATGAAACTGAGTGTGTGATAAACCAGCTAGGAAAATTCTTAAAATGTTTTGAAATTTGGGTATATGTAAAGTGCACTGCAGCTATTGAGGTTTGGTGGCTATGGTGCTTTGTGATTTGTTGTGACATCTTTGCTGAAGTCTATTAGTGCGTGCGATTTAGTTCTGCAGAATGCTTTTTTGATCTTAATGGGTCTTGAGTGTCCTAATGATGTGTCTGGGGAGAAAATGATATTGGGTTGGGCGTAAGAAATAGCAACTATGAAAAGTACTGTACTTTCAAATTCGGGGTATCCTGAGAATTAATTGCAGCGTTTGGTGTTTTTGTGATTTGTTGCAAACAGCCTTGGGCTTTTGCGTTGAGCTTACTAGCACTTACACCACTAGCTGAACGCGTCAGCTTCTTGACAGAGTAAGGAATTCTGATGAACTTCTTGCATTTTTGGTTGTGCAAATTCTTTTTCTTTGTTGAACAAGTTCTTATTTTGGTTTTGCTTTCTCCCTTTGTGAATGTTAATTCAAATATCGCAGACAAGTAGCTTATCACACGGGTCCAACAGGTATGAACCTACTATTTGATTATTATTGTCTCGCATGCATTCTTCCTATGTATAAAATAGTTAATCATGGTCGACATTATGATTATTGGGTACCTTAATATCAACCCTTTGTTAATTTTAATGAACCATGAGGTTGAAAAGACGGAGAATGATAATATAGTCGAGGGACTGAGAAAGATAGATTAGATGTGTTTTGGTATGGCTAATGATGCAGCCAAATTGTGAAACTAAGTATTTAAAAAAGTTATTGTGAGCTGATTTTTACTACCCACGTCAGAACTGGCGTGATCTGATAGTTTCTTTGAAAACATACCAGCATTTCAGCCTTGCAACTTTAATTCCTAAATTTTCTCTTTTATCTGAATAAAGACACAAAACGAAAAAAATTGAGTAAATTACTCACAGATAATCAGAATTACTGGGAGATTACACAAATTTCTCATCTATTCTCAAAATATTACTTTAGTCCAATTTGAATTTTCATTTTTTTAAATTCAAATTATTGCCACTTATATCTGAACATTCAGCGTCCTAAATACGCCATGTTAATCTAAAGGTACCAACATGTATTAAATACTGATCTGAACAAATAAAAAATAGTTTGTTTCCATCAAAATTAATAAGAAAGAAAAAGTGTGTACTTTCTCTAATTAAATGAGTTGGGGGTATTTTTGTATAACGTTACTTAAGACACAATTTCGTTTTAGGAAATGGATTTTTTATATGTTGAAAATTAGATGTCTCTACTATCTAATTTCAACACGCTTGGATGATGTCTCTATAACTTAGGCTAGAAATTTTATCACTCATTGTGCTTTCAATCTTGGAATGTAAATTGATATCGAATTGTATTGCTTCTTTGGTTTTTTGGTCACAACATTGCAACTCTGATATTTGTGCTCTTGGAAGTGGTCATATAACTATTTTTTCTTTTTTGCGCACGGAAATGGTCATATCACAGTTGTAGAAATAATGCTCTTGCAAATTGCGATACAATTAAATTATGATATTAGAACACTTAATGCTGTAACTGATGCTTTGTGTTTTCTGGTCTACAGTTGGAGGACTCTTGAATGCAACATTTGGCAATGTCACAGAACTCATAATAGCAATATTTGCTCTCAAAAATAATAAAATAGCTGTGCTCAAGTATTCTCTCTTGGGTTCAATCCTTTCAAACCTTCTTTTAGTTCTTGGAACCTCTCTCTTCAGTGGTGGAATAGCAAACATCAGAGTAGAACAAAAATTTGATAGGGTAAGGCCGCCCTGAAGCCTCATTCAATATCAATCATGTATGTTAGATCTTAATTCTTTCCCCTCATGCTTAGCAAATGACGACTAATATCCTGCGTTGATTTTTTTTTTTTTTTTCCGGGTTAATGAACTCGCAGAAACAGGTAGATGTGAACTCACTTATGCTGCTGCTGGCATTTTTGTGCCACTTACTGCCTTTGCTGTTTAGATATTCTGGTACCTCAGCTACTCTCAATGCAGACTCATCTCTCCACTTGTCAAGAGCTGCAAGTATTGTGATGCTGACAGCGTATTTTGCTTACCTTGTCTTTCAACTTTGGACCCATCGCCGGTTATTTGAAGCCGAGGATGTAGGCATCTTAAATTATGAAACCATGAAGTTGATTGTGTTTGCGTCCATTAGATGTATACTCAATACCATCTATCTTTGATCAGGAAGAAGATGATAATGATAACGTTGCAGAAACAGCTGTAATAGGATTTTGGAGCGGGATTGCTTGGCTTGCTGCATTGACTGTACTCATTGCTATCTTGTCTCAATTTGTGGTGGAAACAATTGAGGTAACTGAGTTCAGCTCTTAAATGCTTGATTAAGCACCTGCATAGCGGACAAGTAGCAGTTCTTTGCCATCTGACATGATATGGAAAGGACTATGAACTTCATTTTGATTGTCATAAAATAATACTACCTCCGATCCTAATTATAAGAGCTAGTTGACTCATTTGAGGAAATTAAAGAAATAAGTTAAGTTAGTTATTTGTAATAAATAGGTATTGTCTTTCCTAAAATATCTTTACTGATCAAGTTTATTAGCTAGAACTATCATTATTAGAGGGACTATCTTGGAAAAAAAATTCATAAATATGAGAGAGAAAATGGATTGGGGTTTTATAATTAAGACCAAAATAAAAGTCAAACGAGGTCTTATATTAAGGACTGGAGATAGTAGTTCATGATATACTAACATTCTTTTTGATCTCGGCAGGGTGCTTCAGATTCATGGAGCCTTTCTGTCAGCTTCCTTAGCATTATCTTGTTGCCAATAGTTGGCAATGCAACTGAACATGCAGGAGCAATCATATTTGCTTTGAAGAACAAACTGGTGAGGACTCGGATAATTTTATGAAATTGCTTATTAGATGTTGGGGCCCGTGCATGGAAACACATATAGCAAGTCACACCGTTCACAGTTTGTGAATGTGCATTTTCTTGTAAATTTATTTTATGCACACACGCACGCACAGATTCCCTAGAATCTATACCTTCTGCATTTTAATATGCAACTTCCTTGAAATTAAACTAATAGGTTGGATGACTGCAGGACATCTCATTAGGTGTTGCTTTAGGTTCTGCAACTCAGATATCCATGTTTGTGGTAAGAATATACCTTTATAATGAAATTTCTGTTCTAATTTGGTTTTAGTTTTGAATCAACGAAAGCTCACTTCAAGAACATGCATTTACAACATAGGTTCCTCTCTGTGTGGTTATTGCTTGGATGATGGGTATCAAAATGGACCTTGACTTCAATCTCCTTGAGACCGGTTCTCTTGCTTTGGCTATTTTAGTCCCATCCTTCACTTTACAGGTATAGTTTCACTTGGCATCGTTTGAACTGGGAAGGATTGGGGGGGGGGGGGAACTAAATTGCGCACACATTTTGATATCATTTCTTGATTCAGTTTGTTGATGAAACAAATTTTTCCACTATGAATCTTGTAGGATGGGACTTCTCACTACATGAAAGGCCTTGTTCTCCTGCTCTGCTACGTTGTTATTGGGGCATGCTTTTTTGTACAAGGAACACCACCCAGTAAGTATTACATGCTATTTAATTTGGGGGTTACATAAATATTCAAAATCAAGTAACTAGTATTTGGGTTCTAGAAGGATGCATGTTCTATTAGGTTGGTCAAATTCATCTATATGGCACTATAGTGGGCTACAGTTACTAACAATTTAATATAAGCCATTGTAAGGTATGAGTGATGGGGGCCGATAAACTTTTGTAGTCAAATGAGGTCTATTATTTACGTAAGAACTGGCTAAACATGCATCTGTCAAGTATTCATATGGCTCCTTTGCATCCCAAGTATGTCAATCATATCTAACATTGATCGGCTCCTCTTCCCAGACCAAGCTGATGTTCCAAACATGATCCTTAAATCCGCGACTGAAGCAGCTTAGTACTGGAGTTCTTGTTGCGAAGCTGTGCAAACATAATCACTTGCGCCCATGCATGAACTCTGGAATGAGCAAGGGACAAAGTTTCATTGCAGGTTACGACCTATTCGGGTCCCTTCGTGAGAGAGGAAGGACGAGAGCTTCTATACTAACTTCAAACAAATTCAATGGATTTGCCTACTCGAAAGGGAAATGTGAAGAAGTTTGCATTAACTTTGCAGGAAAGCTGATTGCAGACCGTGTACATAATCATAAATCTCTTGAAAGTGCTGTTGGGTCTGAGATTTTCGTCTAGTATTCGTAAGATCTATGAATAGCATAGCAGAAGCTTCTAGGAGTGTTCTAATGGTTTAATGATGGAAGGTCGGTATATGTAGTTAGCAAGATATTGAGGTTTAATTGTCTGTTCATCTTGTTAAAAAGAAAAAGGTTCAGGGTGAGTTTTGAGATGTGAAACACCTGTCCTGTAATAATTCTCAGTATGAGAAAGCTGTTCATCCCTTTTTATTTATTTATTTATTTATTTTGAGATACAATGGGCAAGCCAAAACTTGATCCAACTGTTGGATCATTCTATTAAACATTCTACTGGGGAAAAATATATTAATCATTCCGACATTAGCAAGATTCCCTTGAGCTTGCTGAGTCTGTTGTCACATGCTGTTCTTGTTCTCTCCCTTGCTCGTTAGTTAGAGAACATGGACGCTGACCCCACTCTGACACACTGACAGTTGCAAGTTTACTTTTTGTTTGGCCATTAATTCTATTAATTCGACTTCTTTGCAAATAAGAATCATTTGCAGAACAAATTAAAACTACAATATTAGTACTTGAATTATTCGCTCCCATGTTGATTGTTCCTTCAAACGTTCGAGGCACGTTGCTCATTACAGAGGTCCATAATAAATTCACTTTATTTCTTCTTGTTTACTTTTAGGTGCAGATCAGCAGTGTGGTAATTGAAGACACAACATCATCTCTATTTTGGCCAAAATTGCTGCCATCTTGTGTGTCTTCCAAGTACTGAAAACTAGACTGGTTTCTGAACCAATTGAGATGGTGGGTTAAGAGTTAGTAGGTCAGATCGGAATTAAACCGATGAGAAATAAAAAAATTTAAAATTATTTTAAATTCTCATTACGTCACTCAAAAGAGTAAATATCAATTTAATACCTTGAATGTCTAACAAAATAATTATATACTTATATTTTCTTTCCATTTTTCCTATAATTTTCTTGACAAATTGACATCATAATATCATATTATTAAAATAACTAAATATTCTTTCAAGCAAAATATCAAAATAGATTTATGGCAGCAAAATATTCCTATCTACAATCATTTATTCCTAATTAATAATTTTTTAGCATTAAAAGAATTTTTTTAAAAAATATAACTAGGTTAGCCCACCAAACTGGTCGGGTTAACTAGGTTGACCAAGTGACAGCGGGTCGCATCGAGTCGACCCACTTGTCGGTTTTTTAGCCGACTGGACTGGTCAAGTGACCAGTTGGCCAGTTTTCGGTCCAACCTGACCGGATCGGTCTGGTTTTTAATACTATATTGTCTTCTTAACTCAAGACTCCAGTTGTTTAAAGAAAAGTATTTATATCTTTGTTTAATTTTCTGCTTTTTAGTCAATTATTTAAAATTTTTCTCTCCTTGTGTTTTTGTCATGGTGTCACTTTCACTCAATCACTGGTGATATTCAATCTCAACCTTTTAGCTAAAGGCAGTATAACTTGATGGTTTAGGCAGGCATTTCGATTGGGTTTTCTTGTTTCTAGTGAAAGTATAAGCAATTTTCCGAAACCCCCCAATATGGCTATGTGGCTATGTCAGATTCGAATATTGTCAGGTTCAATTGAGGCAACTCTCTTGAACTAGAGACTTCGTGCTTAAATGGCCAAAACCCCTTCTACTAAAATCAACGCTTGATAACAATTTTACCACTTGATTATATATTGTAAAGACAAACAGATGTCGACTCACTTGGGATGCTACTGCGCTTTATGTTTGGGATTACTTACTGAAATACTTCTTTAGTCCTAAATATAAGACCCTTATAGTGTGTATAAGGGTCTTATATTTAGGACCGTAGGAGCATCAAATATGCCAAGGACATCCAATTACGGAGGGCTGCTTGCATCTTTTGAATGAACTTTCTGGAAGTTGTTGGAAGCAACAAGCAAAAGGCTCTTCGCTTGGGAGGAAACCCAACCTTCCTTCTTCCTTTATCACAGCGTGGGTGCCTTGGTGCAATCTACCATTCATGTGATTGCAGTGTTTCATAAGCTTGGCCCTAACGTTAAGTAGCCTTTTTGTGCTGATGTGTTTCTAGTTTAATTTCCTCCCCTGCTTGCAGCCCTGCTCGTGTTCTTTGAATTCGAATACTGTCAATGAATATCCCTTTTCCTAAGTTCCAAAAAACAAGATCTTGTACCATCATTCAATTGAAAAAAGAAATCTTTTTACAGATAATTTAAGTAGAGTTAACACATTTTTCTATGCCCAACTCTTGATTCATTTTGTCTGAGTTTACAAGTTAAAGCAAGAAATTAACAACCATGATATCATTTAATGATACTGTATGTCTGAAGAAAAACTGTTTAGTGTCTATAACTTTCTTGCCTCAATACTAAACTGTACCAAAATAGTCATATACCATATCAAAGATTCTATAGACCACTTTCAAATTAGTTGAAGTTAGCTAAATGTTCAAAAAATTTATAACTCTAAAATTACTCCTTGAATTTTTTTATTTTATACAATTAAAATCGTGCACAAACACAAACATGTTATTAACAAGTCAAAATATGAGATTTTATGACAGGTGACATTATCACTGAGACAACCTGTCGTTGACAAATTACTTGTTGATTGGTATAATTCATTAGGAAGAGAAAGGAAGGAAAAACCGCATTAAAAAGACAATAATATTTTTTTAGATTAATTATCAATGTTTTATTAAATTTGGTGAAGCGCCTTGTGTTTTATAATGTAAGGCTTTGTCCTATGTTTTGCCACTACTATTTTGTTATAATATAGGGTTAAGATATAAATATACTCGTAAAGTATTTGCAATGAATGTCTAACACTATAAATTCATTTGAGTGCAAAAATGCTCATAAAAATTTTAAAAGAGTGTAAAAATGTCATAGTCGTTTATTATAACGGTTTGAGCTGTCTAGATTTTTCCTTGATATGAAGCACATATTATAGCATCAAAAGGTTATAATTATTGCGTTGTTTGGTAGATAGAGAAGTACTACCTCCGGTCTTATTTATAAAATCTTATTTGTAAATTATAAATAATATCTTATAAATAAGACCAGAGGTAATATTTTCTAAAAAGAAAATTAGAAACGTACCTACCTTTTTCAGTTTTTTAATATGAAAAAAAAAACACTTTTTGGCGTACCAAACAAACAGTTTAATTCAAAGCTGAAAGAGATGCCATTAACACTTAACAGCAAAGCTAATCAAGTGTAGGTTTTGTGTAGCACATGTAGCTCATTTTACTCGTGCAAACCAACCCCTTTATTTTATTATTAATAATGAACAATAATGTTAAACAATGAATCTTTCTTCTCCAAAAACTAGAGATTTTGGGAAATTTGGTGAGCTAAGCCTGATATGAGGAAAATATTAAACTAGGGGTCGGTGAAGGTAGCAGATAATAAACCTTTATCACATCACACACACATATATGTATGATACCTAACTTCCACCTTAGCATAAAAACTAGTTAAAAATTGAATTTAATATTAGATATAAGACTTTAATCTATTTTGTTTCTCAAATTTATGATTTTTTTAAAATATCCTTATTGATTGCAAAGGTTTCTTACTAAGATAATTTCAACACACATGATTAAAGACTATAGTCAATATACATGTTACAAGTAATTAACTTAATTAATTTTCTTAATCTCTCTAAATTAGTTATATAACTCTTATATTAAAATGAGAAAGGTATAATATATAAAATAAAATGCATGACAAATCACACTAAAGAGGACGGCTTATTACTCTTTTTGTCCATGTAATGTATAAAAGGAAAATGGATCTAGCCTAACTTGAAAATTGAAATCATCAAAATCCTTTTCTTTAAAAACCTCACGTCTTATATCTTATTGTACTACCTCCGGTTTTAATTATAAGACTCAGTTGACTAATTTGAGGAGATTAAGGAACTTAGTTAAGTTAGTTATTTGTAATGAATATGTGTTGTTTTTTTCTAAAATATTCTTGCTAATCAAGTTTGTTATCTAGAACTACCATTATTAAAGGACTATCTTGGAAAAAATGGATAAATATGAGAGACAAAATAGATTGGGGTCTTATATTTAGGACCAAAATAAAAGTCAAATAATATCTTATATTAAAGACCTTTAACCTAAGTTGCCTCTTGGTGGTCTTGTCATGATATAGTTAAATATAACGCTAATTTTCAAGCACCTCAAATTATAGTAATCAATTTTTTTAAAAGATAATTTAACCGAATAATATTGGATACTTCATTTTATTTGTGTAGTCATGTATCATATTTTGATTTTAAAAATACTGCTTTAACTAAATTATACGATTTTTTTTTCCTATTTTGAAAATATGAACAAATCTCCTTCAAAACAAAAGTTTACATTATATTTAAATGTAATTTTATAATTTTTATTTTTATTTGCATTGAATTAAACAGGAAACGTTAATAAGAATATAAATAAAATATATAAGTATATAGTTTACATTTTAATCCTCCTCCGGACAGTCACCGAGTTAAACTGGCATAGCCAAAGTCCTTGTGTTTCGTCTCGTCGTCGGCTTTCCTTCCTCCTCCTTCAGTGCCCTCTGTCTCTCTGCTACTGCCTCTTTCTCTCTCTGCCTTATCCCTTTCATCCCTTCATCTCCACCATGCCGGAGGAAAGAGCCGTTGTAGCATGGTGCAAAATCCCTGCTCTCAACAGCTCTCCGTGCGCCTCCGACGACCCTCAACCGCTATGGAAGAACAAGAGTAGTAGCCTTAGCCTCAGTCTCACTCGCAGCGGTACTCCTTGTAAATTCGCTTGCGTTTCTGTGGCAGAACGGAAATTGGATAAGGAGTTCTTTCCCACTTCTGCCCAGCTCTTGCAGCATCCGCTTGCTATGGTCGCACTCGTGCCAAAAGACGCCGCGCTCTTCCTCGCCGGCGCTATTGCAGGCGCTGCAGCCAAGACTGTCACGGCTCCGCTCGACCGTATCAAAATTCTTATGCAGGTTCTCTCTAAGGCTTCTATTTTATAGTAAACTAACGGTTTTATATTGAAATATTAAACCATTCAGCCTTAGTAATTGAAAATATGCTTACTTTAACGAGTACATTATTTCCTTGGAACCAAACATGTACGTTTACTAAATTCAGGAATGCAGCTAAATACGCTTACCATTAGTTCGTATCCAATGCATTTTGTAACATTAGCCAGTTGTGTGAATATTTGGGTGATGTTGGGAATTTTAGTTTATCGAGATTTGGCTTGGTGATAAGATATTTAGGCTTATGAACTTGCGAAGTTTATAATCTATGCGTTATATTTGTCTTTACTTTCTTTTTCATATTTTTTGTTGTCACTTTTTTTTGAACTGTTTTGCTGTCAATTTTTTTTGCCATAAACAAGTTGCTAAGAATATGGGAAATTAGATTATGCAGGTTCCGATTATTTTCCTCTCCACTTGCTCTCCTCTTTAGTTTGTGTGCTTCACTTTCTTCTATTGAATTTGTCTTTTATGTCTTTATCATATTCGGAAGCATTTCTACTTTTTCTGTAGGGTTTATGGGTGACGCTGGATATCTTGTTTCTTTTTTTCATCTATTATTCATTAAATTCTTTAGTGCTTTTCCGTGCTGGTGACAAATAATTTTGCTTTATCGTGATGTTCATTCCGTGTATGGTTGTTGGGTTTAAATTGGTTGATGTTTTTGGAATGACCTAATGTATTTCAGACTCATGGAGTGCGAGCTGGACAAGAAAGTGCGAAAAAGGCGATTAATTTTATTGAGGTGATAAATGATTCCATCTCACCTTGAAAAAAAAAGAAGATGTATTAGATACTTTAATGGCTAAAATTTTGCTATATGTTTCAGTCTAGAGAATCTAAAATATGCTATTTTGTATTAGGTTCTAAAAACTTCCTACTTATTGGATATCTTCTTGTAATAATAATCTTCCTCTCTACTTTTTTCGTTCTCTTTTTTGGCCTGAAGCTCTCCTCATGTTTAAATTCATATAATTTTGCTTGTTACAGCCTGCTGGGTCAGGGTTATCATGGAAACCAACTATACATACTTTCCTGAACTTATTTTTGGTATCACTCAATCATTTGAGAATTGGGATATTTGGGGCTCTTTATATTTTTCCAGTTTGCTGATATGATGAAATCGTACCAGTAATTACTATTAGATGGGTTAAGGCCTTTTTTTTTTTGGGGGGGGGGGGGTTCACGTTTTCAATTAATCGAGATGCAAAAAAAATGTATTTGAAACATTTGTTTGCTGAATAAATTCATGGAGATGCTCGATGTATCATGTCTTTTGTCTTTTTCCCATCTTACTCGCTCTGGGCTCCTCTGGCCAGAACATTTCTTTAAATTTTAGCTGACCTCAACATGATTTACAGGCTGTAACAGTTATAGGAAAGGAAGAAGGCATTAGAGGTTACTGGAAGGGGAACCTCCCCCAGGTATCTAATATTAGGAGAGACCATATTGCTACTTCAGTCTATATTTCTCCTGATAATATTGCATAGTCACTTAACCTGTTTAAGAGTTACCTCTTGTGTGTTCCAGGTTATTCGGGTGATACCTTACAGTGCTGTCCAGCTTTTTGCATATGAAATTTATAAGGTTGTGCCCTAATTATCTTTCAACAACTTTAAATACCATATCACTATTTCGAGTCTAAAGTTTTAATTGTGGGTCAGAAATTGTTCAGGCGAAAGGATGGTGAGCTATCTGTTGTTGGAAGACTTGCAGCAGGTGCTTGTGCTGGCATGACATCCACTTTTGTAAGTAAAATTTGTTGCTTGTATCCTGGGAAGTTTCTGGCATCATGTCATTAGTTCTATTACAGGTTTATGTTTTGTAGGTTTTTATACTTTCTAAGTGCAGGTGCTTGTGCTGGCATGACATCCACATAATCAAATTTTGTTTTCGAAGATATGAATACAAAATGCTCTGTCAAATATTGCTAGCGCAACTAGCAACTACTAATTAAATTCTTCAAACTTAGCTGGAAGTTTTCAGCGATTGTACTAAAAACTAGGATCAACGTGTGGACAGAATGTAAACTTCTTTTCTTGCAGAATTAAACAAAGAAAGAAAAAAAAGGAGAACTAAGGAAACTATGCCTGACCTGTTTTTTAAATTTCCCTGTCCTTGCGAGTCATATTGCAGTTGCTTGTTCGAGAAGTCTTTGAAGCTTTAAATAACTTTTTGAATCTTCTACTGGCCACATCTCGATCGGGTAGTCAAGTGCCAAAAAGCTCATGTAAAGACTAAGAGGTAGAAGTTGAGAGAAAGTAAATAGTGAAGGATTTTTTTCCCCCCAAAATCAAATGAAGGTTGCCACCAGTACTAAACCATGTCTAGCCATGGTGTGCTGTTAGCTTCTCTCTGTTCCAGCAAAATGTGAGATATGAAGAATCCCCTTGTCCTGACTGAGATTGAATGAAAGAATTAGATATACTACTGGTAATGGAGGCGAGTGGCCATTGCACCCTTCACTTTTTGTAGGGAAAAAATACAGAAAATGATTACTTCGGTTAAATAAGGAGACTTCATGTTTTTAAGGAGAGGAAAAATGCCATGTAAATCAAACTTGCTTAAGCCCAAGCTAGCTGACTTTTCTCCACATCTACATTTACTGGTGCGGTTGTCAGTCACACTTAACAGTACACATCAACTTTTGGCCAAAAAAAAAAAAAAAAAACAGTACACATCAACAAGATTATTCATAGAGTCAAAATTAATTCACATGTATCACTTAGCTATGATTTAAACTTATGGAGTCGTTATTTTTTCTAATAAAAAAGTTAGTTAGGGACTAAATAGAGAATTGGAGTATATAGCTGGACTAATTAGATTCTTTGACCAAAATAGTATTTTGAGTACAATTTTAATATTTCCTTAATGCAGTGCATGTATCTTATCTGGTATGATCTTTTTAGGTGACCTATCCATTAGACGTTTTGAGGTTACGATTAGCAGTTGAACCAGGTTATCGAACCATGTCACAGGTATGATTGACCGGCCTTTTTGCTTGTTGCATGATCTTAGTTTGTGGTATGAAAACTGTTGAGTATTTTTAGGTCGCCTTGGGCATGCTAAGAGAGGAAGGTTTGGCATCATTCTATCACGGCCTTGGGCCTTCTCTTATTGGAATTGCTCCGTATATTGCAGTGAACTTTTGTGTTTTTGACTTGTAAGTCCATGGGCGTCTATTATTTACTTATTTATTTTGACAATTTGAAGGAGAATGGACTTGAATGTTGATTCTGAAACATCCTGATTTTCTTTGGGTGCTAGATTAAAGAAATCTTTGCCAGAAAAATATCAAAAGAGAACTGAAACATCTCTAATCACAGCTGTGCTTTCTGCATCTCTTGCGACCCTTACATGCTATCCTCTGGACACTGTACGAAGGCAGATGCAATTGAAGGGCACACCTTATAAGACAGTTTTAGATGCCCTTTCAGGTTACATTGTTGCTATTTACTTTTAGCATCTGCAAATTATTACTTGGTAGACATGCATGTATTTCTCCCTTTACTAGTTTTCACATTAACCAACCGTCAAATATGAGTGCTGGTAGTGATCCGACTGCAGAATATGTTATATGCAATTGTGCTATATATATAAAACAAAATCCAGCTTTCTCGTTTGATTTCACTTTCTAAAATTCATTGGTTAGTCCTTGGTACATGTTAATTAAGTTTGTGGCGATGAAGTAATTGAACACTTACAACTTTATTGGTGTCTTTATTTGAGATTCTCTCAAGTCTACGAGAAGTCACTATTGAGTTACCTAGACATTTTCTAAGAATTTTGCATATGTGATCCCAATCCATGTGTATGTATTGGTGTAATACTCTTCTGGCATACTTCAGAATTATCTAGTTGGTTCAACTGTAATAGTTCAGTAATTTGTACTAATGTCAAGTAAATAATTGCATTGATGCAGGTATCATGGCACGCGAGGGAGTTATTGGCTTGTACCGGGGCTTTATACCAAATGCTTTGAAAACCCTCCCAAACAGCAGGTTCCCATTATCTTCTTCTATTGCCTGTAGAAATAATTAACTCTACGGCACACTGATGCGTTTTTGTTGCAGGCTTCTTTTATCACCTCAAAGCAATTCTTAGATTCATGTTTTACTTCATTGTTGTTTGTCAGTGACTTGAAAGTCTTTGCTTTGTCTGTATTAGTATAAATTTTGTTTCTTGGTTACTATAGATTCTGTTTTTGTCACCATGCTGGTGATAAATCCTGTTTTCACAGCATAACTCCTTGCTTGTGGGCATAAAAATGGTTGGAATCTTTTCTGAAACTGACCGTACATTGATCAAGAAAAGAGCTTGCCATTGTCTCTTATGTATTCTATTTTGAGCCAAGTTGTTCTCTGTCACCTGAATTTTTCCCTTGTTTCTCTCTACAGCATCAGGCTTACCACATATGACTTTATTAAACGGGCAATTGCAGCTAGTGAGAAAGAGTTCCAAACAATTACGGAGGAGAATCGCCAGAAACAGAACTAAACAAATAAACGATGAAGTTGGTCCTCGGATTCATTTTTGACTGCTGAAGAGCGACATATCAGATATCCTCAAACGGTGTCTCTGAGAATTGTTCTATAGGATAGAAGTTTCTGCCTGGCACCTTGTATTCTTGTGCTAAATTCATCTTCAGCTTCTGGAACTTTGTATGCCAAGTAAAATAGTATGTTTTCACGCTTGTTCTTACATTTCTTTATAATATTACCTCCAATTCTAATTATAAGACCTTGTTTGTAGTCTACAAACAAAATCTTATAATTAAAACTAGAGGTAAGATTTCCTTCTCTCAGAGGTTGATGAGTTTTGAATTCAGATTTGGATGGAAACTAAACCATATAAGGGGATTAATGTGGATTGAATGATACTTCTAGGGGGAAAAAAACATTATGAAATTTAAGTCTAAAAGTGAATTCATGACAGTCAGGTCAAAAAATTTAAAAGTGTCTTCTAAATGTCAATTGAGGCCTCAGTTGTAAATTGAGAATTGTATTTGAAGTTTATGTCTATGTGCAATCGTTTAAGGCCCTGTTTAGAAGAGCTTATAAGTAGTTTTTTAATTATAATTTACGGGATATGAGGCAAATATGAGAAGAGAGTTTTGTTTTGGTTTATATGAAATGTGTTTATAAGTAATTTTCACCATTATCCCAAACAGGTCCTAAATTAATAATGACAACTCTTTTATTTTTTTATAAAATTATCCATAACGGAATGATTCAATTTTTGTTTTTGGATATACTGGAAAGGAGTAATGACTCAGTTGCTCATTATTATGCACACATTTAAGCGTTTCCCCATATTATATTATAGTTTGTATTATATTCCCTTCAGTTCCTAATTTAAATAGATTAAAAAATTTTGATAAATTAATTAATTATTATGTATGTTTATAAGTTAAAGAAATTAATTTGAGAAAAAAATAATAAATTAAAAGACAAATAACTCATATATTAAGAACTAAGTATTAGTAGTGTTTTATGGTTCAACATGTGAAGCAAGTGGGCCGTTGGTAATATAGATTATTATAATTAACAATTTTTACTGTTAGTTATCATTTCAGTCCCAAATATAATAAAAATTATTAAAAATTTTGCAATTAGTTTTTTTTTTCCTTTCTCGATTGCATTTTGGAGGAGGATTACTGCATTCACGTGGCGGGTCACGGAAAGACGACATCTCATCTGTATATGGCTTCGGTTCTTCAGTTCAGAACGTGATAGCGTTTACTGCTAAAGACGAAGAGGCAGAAAACCTCAACCTCCCCGAGCTCCCAACATTTCGATGTCTCACAGCTTGCAGTGCTCATTCTCTGCAAGCTCTTTTAGCTCTTCGAGGAAGATCAAGAGAACCACTCCTCACTGTCTTCAAATTCAATGCTCTTCTGCGCATTCCAATTTCAAAGATGAAGATGAAGTTGATAGTGGGAGGTTAATTATTTATCCATCCGTAGGGTGGATCCTATTCAAATCTATTCTTTTGTTGAAAGTTAACGAAGCAGTTTGCATTAAGACATTTCAACTCAAATTTTCAGAATTCATCTGTTGCAGACAAGAAAGAAACGTGACTTTTAAATATCTTAAAATGGCCATTCAAATTAACCATTTTTATGTGTTGATTTTTGATTGTATATGATATTTTTTTCCCCAGAGTCCAAGACTTATCCTCACAGTCACAGGCGGTATGGATTGAGAAATATAGCAATGGTACTACTAAGAGGTTTTCACGTAACTACACTCAGGGTTCTTTTTATATTTTCTGCTTCTGTAGGTTTAGATTCTTTAATTTTTAACCCTTAACACGTTAGAAGAATTGCTTATTGCTGAAAGAAAATATAATGGACATCCGTTGGTTGGTATAATTTCACCTGTTGATTGGCATGGTTTAATACTTCCATGCTCTTGTGTTAGACTTCATTATTCAAATTCATAACCTTCGAAGCAGATGCCTTCTCCAAACCAGGCTTCAGCTAGGACAAATTTTCTCATAAAAATTATTCTTTCTTCTATTTCTTTTGGGCAGATACGAAGTGGATGATCAATCGCAGTTGCTAGCTATTACTGTTGAGGAAGATAGGCCTACAACAAACAGTTTTCCGGATTTCAATTCCCAGGACAAAACACTAAACTGGCTTCCACGTACAATCAAAGACTTCATTTTACCCGAAGGCTTCCCAGGTGATTAACCAGCGGCAATATGACGTACATTTCTTTTCCCTTTTAATCTATTATATTAATATGCCAAAAAGCTTCCATGTTGTTTCTTTCCTTTTTCTCTGGGACAAACAGCTAAGCAATCACAAGATTTATATGAATAAACCGAATTTGAGTGTTTTTGTTTTACAGCTTTGAAAAATTGGATGGACTCTGATTTCTTCATGAGTAAAACAATGTGTCTAATGATTTGAAAAATACACAATGGTGACTTGCACATGACTAGAGGTCTAGAGGCAATCATAAGTAATTTCTGTGGATGATTAATGGCAGAGAAACTTATGAAGTTCCTATTTCATAGACCAAATGAACTCACGAGCAAAACTGTTTGTTTCCTTAATTGAACTTTTGATGCAGGATCGGTTTCAGATGATTACTTGTGCTACATGTTGTTACAGTTCCCTACCAATGTAACTGGATGGATATGTCATGCCTTGGTCACTTCGAGTCTCTTAAAGGCATGTCAGTCCCACTCGGCCTACTGGATTTTTACTTGGAATGTTTTAATAGGTTATGAAAATTAAATAGTCAGCGGCATTTCCATTTAATTGAAAAATCATCCTCCAGACAATAATCTCTATTCCATTGTGAGTAATTGGCAATGGTGTTTCCTTTTTGTGCGGTTTGGCATGTTTAGCATTAACTTTGATCATTACTAGGCACAGTGCCTCCATTTTACATGTCAAAGAGGGGGAAAGGGAGATCAAGAGGCATAGGTGTGTTATAGATTGTTAGCATAGCGTTTTATGCATCTTTATTTAAATTGATGATGTGCTATGCGCTGATTCTTTCTTCTAAATTAACTGCTATTTCCGTTCCTTTGAACCTTTTTGTTAAAGGTTTTACTTCTGATTGCCACGTCCAGCTCAGAGTTGAGCACCTGTGCTCCTTAATGATGTCCATCATCTGTTTGAAACCGTCTGTCTGCTATTTAAATGAAGTGAATGACAATTACATATCTGTGCTGTCTTCATGTCAAAATCTCTCCTTCACTTGCAGGCAGTTGGTGTTGGCTCCTTCTCAGGAAGCACTGCTGTTGCTTCTGCTGCCGCCATTAGGTGAATAATCAATTTCAGTGGTTAAACTGGCTGTTAATACGATTGAACCATTTATATACATACTATAACATGAAACTTATCCTTTTTCCACCATCATTTGCTTATTTTACTTCTATATGATTGACTGCATGCTTTTCACTTGTAAATAGATGGTTATCAAAGGATGGCATTGGAGCCGTTGGACGACTACTTATCGGTCTGGAAATGAAGGAATTTAAAGGAAGAAGAATATTATATTCTGAAACATTATTTATAAATATATTTTGCTATCTTTTCCAGGTGGGAGGTTCGGAAATCTTTTTGATGATGATCCAAAGCAATGGAGAATGTATGCAGACTTGATTGGCAGTGCAGGAAGGTCAATTAATAAGCCTTTGATTTTATGGAAATCTGTATATAAAATCATGCTATTTTTAGACTAAGTGTGCTGATCTCTCATGCAGTATTTTTGATTTGACAACTCAACTATATCCTGCCTATTTCCTTCCTTTAGCATCTGCAGGAAATCTTACTAAGGTACTTCGATTTGCAGGTTTGATATGTTCTATTGTTAGAAATCAGTGCTTATATTGGTGACAAATTGTTTTTCAAAGACAACTAAAACAAAAGCTACAAATGAAACACAACTACAAGTAATTATTACAAGTGGGGTGCTTCTTTTATGCGTTCGTAATTGTAAAAGATTAAATTTCTTTGATTTGACATTCAAACAGGCTGTTGCAAGAGGGCTAAAAGATCCTTCCTTTCGTGTGATTCAAAACCATTTTGCCATTTCAGGAAATCTAGGAGAGGTAGCAGCAAAGGTATGCTCTCGTAACATTTTTCAAGATAAATTCTACTCTCATTTCTAATGTGTTCACTAGTAACGATAAATCTGTAAAACCTTCATAATTGTATTCAAACTGCATTTACATGTTATAGTTTTTACTTTTACCGTCATTTATCTAATTCCTCCCCATTCATATGTATGTTCTTGTAGGAAGGAAATAATTTTTAAATGTAGCTAGATCATATCTTGACAACAGTAGTAGCGCAATCACAATCTTGCTAGCCAAAATCTCCAACCATTGTGAAGACAAACGATCATGAAAATACAAATGTAAACCCAAAAGACTGAACGACAGAAAATCCTTGTAGGAACGTTAGTTTACTGACTTCTTTGTGTCTTCATTCCATATGGTCTTTTGTCTAAATTGAAGAGACCAGATAACTGCCCATACTTGACTTATTACACCACCTAATACATAACTCTTTAAAGAAAATTCAATTGATGACTTTGCATAAACAAAGTAGTAACTTTCGTAAGACTGACATTCAATTATGCTAAGATACAATGATATCTGATGCGGACAAGTTAGCGAGTAATCAGATGCAAAATAAGATGTGAAATAGAAGACTCTTTGATTGACTGACTTGCGTGATTACTTGTGCGCAATTATCCTTTGGACACACTAGTTTAGACATTTTCAGCATGCATGGGCCTTATTTTCTTGTTTAAAGAAAAGGTTATGACAGTTAACTTTATCCTGAGCACAACCTAGCCCAATCCTGGCCAAGGACAGCCTTAAAATTCAATGGAAACTTTTAGCTTGCTAAGAATTAGACTGAAGATCTATTTGTTTCCTGTTGCACTCATCTGCCACCATGCAAATTTTTACGATGGTTGATGAACTTTATTATTTGCCTTCCTGTTTGCAACTTAAATGAAGGATTGATACATGTAAAAAAGAAACTTGAAATTCTATGCCTTTGTTGGAAAATATAGAGCTATTTTCCTTATTATTGGTTCATCATAATTTTTCAGGAAGAAGTTTGGGAAGTGGTTGCTCAGCTGACTGGCCTTGGTTTGGGAATATTGATATTGGTAGGGTACACAAGTTTTCTAGACCACCGACCACTTTTTTTTTTTGGGTTGAATTGCCGAGCAATTTAATACTTTTAATGATGGTTGAATGCAGGATACACCTGACCTAGTAAAATCATATTCTACAATATCTTTGACTTGGATGTCTATACGGCTTTTGCATCTTTGGTTACGTTATGAATCCCTTTCTGTCCTCCAATTTAACACAGTAAGTGGGCATATTATTAAAAGGATAGGAATATATTCATGTGATGTGTTTATCCATTGATGTATCTATTGCATGACGCTTTTCAACAGATAAATCTTAAGCGTGCTCGCATACTGGTAAAATCACATGTTTCGCACTCTACTGTTCCAGGTCGCATTCACAAAATTCATACAGTTTTTGGTATTAGTTATTTCCCTTCACATCAATACCTAATTTGCTGGATGGGTTTATGTCAGGATGTGTGAATTGCAACAGGGAAGAAAACATTTTAACGTGGCAGAACTTCATGAAGCCAAAAATTATTTTTGGCTTGCCATTGGAGAAAATGGATGGTGTGGAGAGATCTCATTCCATGGTATATTGAATCATTGTCACTGTCTTCTCAGAAAATTATTAGGGGCAGGGGAGCATTATGAGCTTCAAAATTATATTCTATGCTGAGTTTTTATAAAGTTACAAAGCTATTCTCATCATTGTTATTTTTCTTACATTTCTATTACGGAGCAGATAAAGACACTTGTGAAATTATACGCGAATGAGAGATATATCCTCACAGTGAACCAGCAGCATAAAGATCTGAGGTTTTATGTTTCTTTTAAGGTATGCTTTTAGATTTCCTTCAAGAATCTAAACAAAGACCCTATTTTGTCCCTCAAGAGATTGTGCCATTATCAATTTAATGCTCTAGATTTTCGTATCATTTGAAACCTAAGAGTATGATTTCATTCCAATTTCACCTTCATGGGTTGTAAAATCACACAATCTTTTTTAGATTAAAATTCTACGGAGTTGTCCAATGCCCTTATTTCTAGTGGCACCTCCCTTGAATATGAAGGGTCATGACGCACGTGAATGTTATACTTATGTTGTTCCTTTTCCCATTCCCTACTTCCAAGTCCTTGTGCCTTCTTTTTAACTAAATAAATCTCCAAACACATATGGTTGTCAAAATTTTTAGTGACACGATAACACCATCATTTGAAGGCAAAAATTGTTGTTGTGTTATTGCACAATGAATGCTTCATTTTTACAGATTCAGAATCATACTGCAGGTTGGAGCTACAAGTGTCTCAGTATTGCGAAGCCTTTGGCAGGCTATCTGGCTAAGTGAGAATTGGGATGGCAAGGGCAATGTTTGTCATCAACTTGCTAGTAGCCTGATGGAGTTGAAAGATAAGTTTGAGGATTTTATTCAGAAGTTGGATGAGGCTGGATGGGATACACAGAAATTTAATTTGAAGGTTCCCAGAAGAATCTCCATTGATGATATTGACCCTCTTTAGCTCCTGAAAGCTGAGACTGTTTCATCACTGATATGATCTTGAGAACTGAGGCCCAAAACTTGGATCAGCCAAATGAGACCATGCTTGCCGAAGAGTTGCAACCACCAAGAGCAAGCAATTATCTATTTTCACACACCCATGGACTCGCTGGATGTCATATACTTAGCGGGGAAATTTTAGGTTTATAGAACAAATCAATCACAGATCATAAATATACATATAAGCATATCTCATATTGAACTAGTGTTTAACTTGTATGTCTATTTATCATTGACTCGTCAAGTTTTGTTTAAGGCCAGATCATCAAATTTTCTTTTTAATAGATTCAGCTTGCAAACTACGAAACAGTTTGAACTGATGATATCTTTATCTCACTTGTACATCCGTCACAATACTGCATATATTGTTTCACTTACACTCTGTTTGGTTAATATATTTATAATATCAGGGATTCAATTCATACAAAACTACTTTAGGTCTTTAAGGAAGCAGGATGAAAAATCTGTTCAAGTATTACTGATACAAGGGTAATTGAGGTCACTTAATAACTTCTTCAATCCGTATTCTACATATATAACTTTAAATGTGAAATATTTCACTTAGTAAAAATTTAATAAAAGATAAAACTGCAAATAAATAGTTAATTCAATTCTATCAAGTGACCATCATTTTTAAAAAGGGGAAAAAAAGAAGACAGTAAAAATTTAGGTAACAAACATTTTTAAATGGATGGATTGGAAATGTGTTCACCAATAGAGGCTATTATTCCCATTATTTTCACCGATCACCACCATACTCCGCCAACGTCCCGACACCACCACCAACCATTGCCCCAATAGCATCCGCCATCAAATGTGATAGATGAGCTTTGGTCTGAATAATTCCATAATTTCTGGAATCTCCAAAAATGCCGAGGAGCTTCCAATATTTTTACAATTAGGTATGTGGCACGTGGTATAAGTTGTGTATATGAACGTTAACTAATTATTTTTAAAATATGATTTGTTAACTTTGTCTGGAAGAAAAATAAAAAGCACCCACCCAGCCTAAATCAGTGTAATTATAAAATTTAGATACATAATCAAATGCATTCCCAACAATGCAAGTTGAGTCATTTGAATTTGAATGATCTCAAGCAACTTTTTTTATTTTGGACGATTAGTTTAAAGTAATTTTATGTGTTTAATGACTAATATAATGCAAGTCAACAATCCGTCAGAAGTTAAGATTGGATTAGCACGGCCATTCCAACAAAAAGTGAAACTCATTAAAGTTTCTTCATGACATCTTCAATTTTCTCAGCAGCTTCATACATATTTTTCAGTTTAACTTCCTCCAACAATAAACGGCAAGTTCTGTGTCTAGGCACTAAGCCACGATCAATCATCTCCTCAAATATTGAGTAAGCCCACTCACATTTTCCTGCTCTACAAAGCCCATGAATTATAAGTGTGTATGTAGAAATATCAAGACAAAGATTATGCCTATCGACCATGTAATCCAGTATATCATTCAAACAACTGTCTATGATTCCAGCTTTAAAGCATGATTTGATCAATGGATGGTAAGACTGAGTATTAGGCTTACAAAGTCCTGAATCTTCCATCTCCTTGAGCAGTTCAAAGGCCTTAATTTGTTGTGCATGATCACAAAACATGGAAATCATTGTATTATAGGTGCAAGTATTTGGGGTAAGACCAGCACTATGCATCTCCACTTTGAATACATAAGTGGCATCATATACTCTGCCTGCTCTGCCCAGCGTATAAATCAAGGAATTGTAGAAAAGTACATCAGGCCTACATCCAAGAGATTTCATCCTTTCAGCCATTTGCAAAGCTTCCTCAAATTTTTCTGCCTTTGCGAGTGCAAATATGATACCTGTAAAAGTGATCACATTTGGACAGCAATCTTGAGCTCGCATTTCATCAAGGAGCTCATAAACCCTATTAAAATTCTGTTCTCGACAATAGCATTGGATAATGGTCGTGTAGCTTATAACACTAGGACAAAAGCCATGTCCTTTCATCTCCAGGATGGTCCAATGTGCCTCATCTACACGCCTAACTTTGCACCATCCATGAATGAAAATGTTGAACGTGTAAGCATTTGGTGAAATGTGCTGCTTCAGATTCAGGAGGATGGCACGAGCTTGCTCCACATTGTTCTCTTTGCAGAGGGTATCAATCAACAAGTTCAAGGACTCTATGTTTTTCTCCAATCCAAGAGTTTCTATTTCATCAAATATCCTAACAGCATCTTCCCATTGCCCTGCACCTGCAAACCTTCTCATTACCTTAGCTATAGTATTGAGAGTGATGAGACTTCCCTGGTTCATTTCTTCTAGGAGATCCCTCACCTTGCCCCATTGCTTCATTTTACCTAATATATCAACCATCATATCATATGTTTCAGGTGAGTGTCTAAAGCCAGAATGCAAACTAGCCCATTTGAAAATTCCAAATGCAGATTTCCAATTATCCTTAAATCGATGGAGCAATACCTCAATTAGGTCGTGAGACACATTTATACCATCACATGCTCGGTCATTGACAAGAGACTGAAAAATTTCATCATCGCTACTACCTTTGCTAGCTTTAGAAATAAGAATATCAAAACCATCCAATCTTGTATGGCCCTCACATTGTTCTCTATGCTGAAAGTTCCCAGCTCCTACAAGGCGAGAAGATGTTGATAGAGAACACAAGTTTCTTAGCCTAAGAGAATGACAACCCACACAAGAGAAAGTACGAGCATAAGCTGCCTGCATGCGGATGCCTTTTAAGAAATCTCCAAACATCAACCCCAAAGTAAAGAGCCAAAAGATAACAGTACTCTGCCCAGAAAAAAGAGTACAGGATTAGCTTCAAGTGATATGAAACTTCCAAATGAAAACTAAGATCTTATGTGGTAAACAATTTACAACAGCAAACCAACAAAGAAATATGGTCCTCACCGTTCATATAACCTCGTGTACAACAACCACAAGTGTGAAATAGGTTAAATTCCCTAACACTTTAGCAGTTTCAAGATATTTAAGTGAATAACAAATTCTGAAAACTGAAACCTAATTTCTGCGCCAGCATTGCTCAGTCATTAAACAAGAACCAAAACAAAATAAAGTGAATGATTTCACCAAATATTGCACAAGTATCAGCACATTCAACCTATTTCCTTCACTATTTTGGTGTTGCAAAAATATACTATTTTATTTGATGCCATTGAGAGAAGCCCATGTCCTTCCTCAAATTTCCTTACTTTGAAGACTATGAATTAAAGGGAATATGATGGAACCTTCAAAACTCTTAATTTATATGTAACTAGAAATATCCAGACGATTACACAGTAAAAGAACAAGAAAAGAAAGAGAATGACCCTCTAGTCTCATGACCTTCAAAAGGTAAGAGGCTCGCCCAAAACTTCGAAATCCCCCCCCCTAAAAAAAAAAGAGATATATGCACCCACCTAATGCCGCATTGGCATATCCCTAGGCTTCTCCTTAGTGATGGAAGACAATCAAAACTGTCAATACCCTGAAGCAAATCATTTTATGAAATTGACCAACAACCAACTTACAAGGTAGCGAGGTCAAGTACTCAGCAAGATCAACAAATAATGTAATGAACATCAATAAAAATCCCTTCAGCCTATAATCAGGTGAGAGTGACAACAAAACCTTATCAAATCAAATCAAACATCGAACAGATCAAAGAAAAATTTTAATTGAAAAAAAAAAAAGTCAAAGGAAAAACATGTGCATGCGTGCACAATCAAAGTTCCGAGCATCACATTTTGATATCAAGCATATCCCATAATCCCATTAGAACAATACCGATGAACTGAGCATCCAACTTAAGATTTAGAAGCAGGTACTTGTTCTGAGGTCCCACTTCTTCGATCCCTTTAACCTCCACCATGACACTCAGTCTCCCAATATCACCTCTTCTCTCCCATCCATCCCTCTCTCTCCATCTCGCTTTCTTCCCACTCATTTTCATTTTATCAACCTCACCTTCTCAAATGTCCGTTCTCTCAATTGGTCCCCCTTCTCTGTCTCATTCCTTTATAATTCGTATTTAAATTGATATACATAGCAATTTAAATACGAAAACCATATGTAAACATTGATGGGAAGGAATAGTATAAAGTCATTGTTAATGCGCAATGAGTTACAGTGGTGGTGGTCGTTCCAGCAGACAACAATCTTAACAAACACACCTAGGTCTATACTCTATAGTATAAGTTGTAACTCACAAGCCTCATTCAATTTATTCCCACTACATTTCATGGAAGACGATGCTCTATCTCATTATAAGCCAAGAAAAGTTCCTGACTTTGACTCGAAAGATCACATCTAAGATTTCTATCCATTACCATCCAATTTTTACCCCAAGCTTCAAACCTAATTTATACTGCCATCAAATTAACTCTCACCACCAAAAATTATTACGAAAAAAACAAAAATAGAAAGAAATACAAACCTGAGACAAGAGAGACGAGAGACGGAGCGAGCAGCTGAAACGAGAGTCGCGCACTGAGTGACGCTGTGCGATTTGATGAGCTCGGAAGGGGAAGGAGGTGAGGAGTAACCGAAGTGGGAATTTGCGTGGACCTTGCTTTCGCAACCTGAGACGAGATAGACGAGAGACGGATTGAGCAGCTGAAACGAGAGACGGAGAGAGACGCAGAGTGAGAAGTGAGTCGCCGGGGTAAGCGGCTAAGAGGGCTCTCCTTGCCGGAGTGAGCGGCTAGGGAGGGGTGAGAGTGAGGAGTGAGTCAAGAAGAGCGACTGCCAGGGAAACAGAGCATGGGTGCTTGGGCAAATAGAAGAAAATGGGAAATGAAAAGTGAAAACAATAGGAGGAAGAAAAAAATTGATAAAAAAAAGAAGAGGGAAAATGACAAATAAAAAAGGCTGAAATTAGGATATTTTAAATTTGGAAAGCCAAGGTGAGTAATGAGAGAGAGAAGTTATTCTCAAATTACAATTTTAAAATTTAGTAAAATGACAAAAACATCCTTTATTTTTTTTTTTAGAAACAAAAGCTCAACCCGCCAGTGGGCCCACTACTGGTGTGGTGGTGCGGGTGAAATTTTTTTTGTCATAGACTTTTTTTTGGCCATGTGAGAATATTTAAAAAAAGTGGTAGGGGTAGTATACTAGGATTTGATTACATTACCCTTTCGTCATTTAGGCCAATAAAAGAGAAGATGACTGGTAGGCCACTAATAATTTATTCATCTTATAATGCAAAAAAAATATAAGTTGACTCTTTTATTGTGACTCCATCCCGTGACAATAATTTATCTAGGAATAACAAGTCTAAATTTGATATTCACAAAGCAACTTTTCTTTATACATAACAGGAAATAACATATATATTAATTAAAAGTGATAATAATTTATTCAGAAATAACATGTCTTTATTGGAAAATGACAAATCTAAACTTGAGATTAATAACATGTTTTTTCCTGATACATAATAGGAAATAACATGTGTATTAATTAAAAATGATAAAATTTATTTGCGAATAACAAATCTTGACTGTAACTAAATTAGCTGTGCCTGTTACACACATATTATGAGGGAATGGACGCATCAAAATAAGGTCAAATATAGTCTTTTGTAGATAATTAAATAAATTTCTCACGTACAAATTATTTAGGGAAGAAAAAAGAAATAGCACAAATTCAAAAAAAAAAACTATAATCAAACAATCAAGATTTGTTATTTCCCAATTAAAACATATCATTATCAAATAAATTGTTGTCATTTTTAATTAATGCACCTATTATTTTCCTTTATGTATCAGGAAAAAAACACATTATTAACCTCAAGTTTAAACTTGTCATTTCCCAATCAAGACATGTTATTTCTAAATAAATTGTTATCATTTTTAATTAATATATATATTATTTCCTGTTATGTATAAAGAAAAGTTACTTTGTTAATATTAAATTTACATTTTTCATTTTTAGATAAATTGTGTCACGGGCTGGACCCATAATAAAAAGTCAATTTATATTTTTTTTGCATTACAAGGTTAACAAATCATTGGTGACCTAATGGTTTTATTGGCCCAAATGATCAAGGAGTAGTGGAATCAAATCCCACTCAACCACTTTCTTTAAATATTCTCACGTGGCCCAAAAAATATGTCACAAAAAAAAATTCCACCAGTGGTCAGCACTTGAGGCCAGTAGCTGGCTGTGGCCAACTGCCGACCAGGAGTTGAGCCTTTTTTTTAAAAAAAAAAAAGACAAAGAGTATTTTTATCATTTTATTTAATTTCAAAATTTTAATTTGGGAATAACTTTTCTCTCTATCATTTCCCACCCTTAACTTCCCTAATTGGGATATCCTAATTTTAGCCTTCTTTATTTGTCATTTTCCTTTAAAAAAAATAGTGGCTGAAATATAATATACTTTAGTAAATAGTTAGTATATTTTTTCCTTACGTATTCCTCTTTCTTTATTCTCACATGTGTCTCTCTTAATTAATAGGGATAAAACTAAAAATGAAACACTAAAAAAAAGTATAAGTGACAAATAAAAAGAACCAAAATCTCTTCTTACAAGTGACAATTAAAAAAGACCAGAGCAGTACCACCTCTTGTCCTTAGTATAAAAGCTATTTGACTAATTTAAGTAGATTAAAAAAATTAGTTAATTCATAATAAATAAGTTTTTATCTTTTTTAAAATACTCTTGCTAATCATGTGTATTAGTTAAAACTACTATTTAATAAAACTTTTTATACATGAAACTACTATAAGGACGACATTAAAAAAATAAATAAATATGAAAGACAAAATGAATTAAGCTCTAATTAAATGTAAAACTAGTTCTTATATTAAATAAAAGAGGTAATGTATTTATATATATATATATATATATCTGCCGACTACATGTCACATGTACAATTATATTCTTGGCAATATATATAATTATATATATATGTGTTGTGTTGGCAAAAAATAATCATATATATTTTTCGGGCAGAACAGAACAAGTATACCAGAATACCCTGTTCAATGGACGGCTTTGCCCGCGAATACGCCTGGCCTAAAGGCTAAAAATGTCCATATCCTGGGGATTTTGTCGTCGGACTGGCGCTAAACATTTTTTCCCTAGGCTTGGGCGGACACATCTGACCGGTGGTCATCATGCCTCATGATCAAAATATACAGGATAATTTTGTTCTTAAAAAAGACTTTTTTGTGCCAATCTTAATTATGCCATTAACTCCCAAGGCATTCAGTTAAGTGAAGGTGCATTTAATATCTGTAGCAATTAATGCTTTAAATTAAATTTGTAGTAGAATTTTATCTTTTAAGCAGTATTTTCTAAGTTAATTTTTTATTAATTTTTTTCATATTTTTAAAGGTTAATATAAATTTTGGTCTCTCAAATTTGTCCTCATTTTAATTTTAGTCTCTCAAATTTCAAATCATAACTTTTGGTCTCTCTAATTTTCTATCATTTAAAATATTAATTATTATAATCCAATAAAAATTTGAATGATTTTATCTCTTAAAGTGTCAAAACCTATGATTTGAAACTTGAATAATTAAAACCAAAATAAAGAAAAATTTAAGAGACTAAGGGTTATATTAACCTTATTTTTAATACTTATCTTTAGTATAAACTAACGAGGTTTTGTGATTATGAGTCCGTTTAAAACAGCTTTATAAATAACTTTTTAATAATAATTTACGAATACGAACAAGTATATTAGAGGAGTTTTATTTCGATTTATATAAACGTGTTTATAAGAAATTTTTAAGCCCTCCTAAAAAGGCCCTATGTTTGTAAGATGCCATGTCAATTATTTATTACTACTATAATTTTTGTAAGGTTTACTTAATATTGAAAGAGAAAAGGAAACTTGTTTAATTTTTAATCACTAAAATATATTGGTCTGCGTCTGCCACTCTGCCCCATGTTTTCATCATGCATGATTAGTTGTTTTGAATCAGATCATATTATTGTTTTAAATTTTCTATGGCGGCTATGCGCCTATGCCAGCTCCCCCCACTCCGCAGATTGTTGTCACCGTTCGTTGATTTGAGCGTCTAAGTAAAAGGGGTCCTACAATCTGCGCTTTGGAAGGCGGTACTCTTCTGAAGAACATGGCCGTCGTTGGAGTTCTTGCTTTACAGGGATCTTTCAACGAACACATAGCAGGCAAGCTTCATTCTTTTCACTCCCTCTCAATCTCTGGATGTGTAATGGCTATAGTGTATGGTAATATAGCTCCTTGCTAGCTAAAGTTTTTTTTTTTAATTTTGTTTTTCTATCTATGGTAGCCCTTAGGAGGATAGGGGTGAAAGGGATCGAGATTAGGAAGCCAGAACAGCTTCGCGATGTCACTTCTCTTATCATTCCTGGAGGAGAGAGCACGACCATGGCAAAGCTCGCTGAGTTCCACAACCTGGTCTCTTGTTGCTCCATAATTAAGTGCAGCTTTCTATTGCTTCTATACTGTACAACTCTGTTTTGCTTGCTGCTGTCAAGCAGTATTGCTGATAAAACTGAAACATGAACCTGTACTATGTGTAATATTGCATGATACCTAAGCTCACACTTGTTTAATTGCAACGATAAGCTATTTGTTGCGATGTAAAACAATTGCGCAATAAGTACACTCTCATCCTCTTTAAAACATTTTGGTTTGGATAGCTCAACTCATATTTTTGTATCGTGTTAGTTATCCGTTAATTGGCTAAGTTGAAGAAGGGCTCTGCTCTTGAGATAAGCTGATTGCATGAGTTGGCTTGTTTTCTTTTAGGTTTTCTTACAATCGATTCTTTACGAAGGAAACTGATAGAAAGGGATAAAATTTTTTGAGTATTCTGTGCGTGTGGTGTGGGTTTTGAGGTATGTGAGTTTCTGTGTTGAAATTGAATGGAGCCTCGTCTCTCCTGAGGGAGTCTTGTCCTCATTTAATTACACTAATGGACTAGGGAATTAGAAGATTCAATTATAATATCGGTTTAATTTATGCTTCTGGCGTCTCGTTGAAGAGTAAGGGCCTTGTAATTTATGTTGAGTGTTCAATTCAACAGTTTCCTGCGCTAAGAGAGTTTGTTAAGATGGGAAGACCCGTTTGGGGAACGTGTGCAGGGCTTATATTCTTGGCAAATAAAGCAACAGGTGGATTTTGTTTCTCTTTCCCACTTTTCTGCAATTATGTTGAATGTTGAGGAACATTTTAGTGTTTTGTTCTTCATTTACCGATCTATAAGTTATAATTAAGAGTAATTTTAAAAAATAAATGTTGTACATTATTTCAGGACAGAAGACTGGCGGACAACAACTAGTTGGGGGCCTTGATTGCACTGTTCATAGAAATTTCTTTGGCAGCCAGGTAATGTCATAATAGATGTTGAACAATTGATAATTAAGCATTCATTTAATAGAGAAGCACACGGCAAACAAATCTACGAAGGGACATTGGACAAGAAATTTTTTATATTTTGCATTGAGTGAAAGCAAAAGTGTTGTGTTTGCACTCTTCAGACATTGAACATATAAACATGTTATATTGGTGCCTAGTACCTACTTTTTATGT